TGTTATTCAATCAACCTACAAAAAACATCATCCAATTTACCCCAACTTAGTCACTTGCCCTTTAGATTTGATTCATTGGAAGAATTATCGAATGGTAAAATTGAAATGTTAGGACCATTTTCTCTACCATCTGTCCCTAAAGAAAGCTTTTCTTAAAAAGGTTGCAGTTCATTACAATGCTAGAAAGAAATAAAGGACTTTTGTCTTATTTGCTATCCTGGCTCATGTCAAACAAAGCCTTGTTTGACTAAATAAGAATTTCATTGCACAATTTACTTGTAGAAGCGCTGTTTTATTTTGTCGTCAATTGATCAGCAGGCAGTATCAGTTTAACCTTCAAGATAATGATGAATTATTAGCTGATCAAAATTCACAGAACATTTAAACCACCATTAAAAACAGATTAAATAAAAATATCGCAATTTGCATCTAAATCAAATCAAATGATATAATTTTAATTGATGAGCAGTATCATATGATTGCAAAAAAGAATATACATGGACTAATGTATGGAAATCAGTAGGGTTCCTAGCTTGTAATAGCAAGACACCATGGAAGAGAGGCAGGCTTCAGAGTCTCCTTTACTCTAATAAGAAAGTGTTAACTCATAACAGCAGTTTACTGGAGATTCAACAATTGGATTGTGAGATCAAGAATTTTATCGTGTGGTACTTGTGGAGTTGTTTATGAGAGGGAAGGGAGAATCAACTTTCACGCATTCAAAATTTTGAGCTCATAATCAAATTGTTTTATCGTAAATCTACTATGGTTCAAATCGTAACGACATAACAGGATTATGCGGAAGAGTTAGCGAGTAGAGTAGCCAGTCAGATTGCAGCACATAAAACACCATTAGATTTGCCATTACACTGAGAATCCAGGCCTCGAATAGCTTTTTTTTAAACATTCATTCAAGAAAAACGTCTTCTCTTCATTTTCCCAGTGATGTGTTTTTCGACTAATAATTCTCCTGGCGCAGTTAATATTAAATGCAGGCGACAAAAGAATTCAAGTGTTTGGGGATAATTAAAGGGACACTGCACACCAAGACCATGGACAACAAACGTCATCTCCATCAGCGGTTAAATTGAAAATGACCCTGAGAAATGTGATAGAGAAATTTAAACACAGAGAGCGAGGACAATATACTTGACGCAAAGACAAAACTTTGTTTGCCTTTCTGCACCAATGAACATGTTTTCGATTCGTTACAGAATTTTCGAAGCCATTGAAAAAAAGTAAATAAATACCTACTATACGCTGTGAAAGTAACAACGACAAAATACTCTCAATTTTTCAAATCTTCTTTGAGAAGGCAAATGCTATGGTTTTGATCGTCTCTTTTAGTACATTTAGAATGACACTCAAAAAATGCGATGAAGAAATTTAAACATATCGGTTTCTAGTCCAAACATCATATGGTGAAATATTTAGACTCCCACCAATGGCTATTTTTATTTAATGTTATTCCTGCTGATAGAAATCGCGTAATTTCCGTGATGCTGGGAATGTTTTTAATGTTATGTAGACCTGAAAATGTCAAAGGAAGTTTCTAGATTTACTAAAATGAAATAGAAGTAATCAACAGGTGAACGAGACCTTTGTCGGAGGTTAGTTTAGCGATAAAAAAAAACGTCCGTAGTATTGTCCTCGTTGTATCACATTGTCATGCCATTGTGGGAATAATTGCCGAGCATGTAATCAAACTGGAATGTTTACGAAACACAATTAAAACAATACGCATCTCTGCTAATAGGCATTAATTAAATCAACTGAAACAAATCTGCCATAAGCAACTAAGTAAAAACATGTCCTTTTGGAAAGAGACACTCCAATTCATGAATTAAGATCGTGAATTATGACTTGTCACTTAAACAATTAGCTGGAATTTTTTTCTTCCTCTTCAACTCATTTAAAATTTAACAATCTGGCTTTTTATCATGGAAATTTAATTTTAGCTTTTCTTGATTAGGAGCATTGATGGTGTGGTAGGAAGCAGATTTGTTATTTTAAGCAGCCCACAGTTTTTCTTCATTGTTGATAAATAGTCCCAACTTTGAATAAGTGATATATAAGAAAGCAAAGTGACGGCTGTGTAAACCAATCTCTTATATATTCCTCTCAGTTTACTCATTAATTAAACGGAAAGATACTGGTCGAAAACATTCTATCAGAGTAATTATTATAAGGTACCACTTTTTGACTCCTGAGCTGTGCGAAGAAGGCAAATTATAACTTTTCAATTTAAGTTTTTTTAGGACTGGACCGGCAGAGTAGCAGCTGCTAGTAAACCGCGCTTTGGTTCTCACCATTTGAGTTGAATTCTGGGATATCTTAAAAATTTGCCTGTGTGGCTAGGTTACTCAGTTATTTTCAATGTAGCAGCGTTCACAGCTGAACGTCTTAACAAATTTGAAAACCAGAAATGTTTCAAGGGTTAGGTTATTCCGTGGATTCTCAAACCGCATTAAGTTGTGAGTTTTTGCAGTCTCTTCTTCTTTTGATGGTGGAGCTTGAATGGCGAGTGACCCTTTCTTGCCTTAATCACTTCGTTCTACAGACAGAGCTTGAATAGCTGTGAGTTGAAAATTACGAGACTTTTATATATTAGTTAACCTCAAATCGTTTGTTAGACCGTAGATGAAGAGCATATCAGAAATTAAAGATAACATTTACCGGTCTGCAAATCATCGAAATGAAAAAGGCGTTACTTACTCTTAGCCGGTTCAGCTTTAATTGGCGACGGTCCTAGATATTCGGTGTTGTTCTAATGTGAAGTCAATTACGAGCATTTTCAGTAATCGACTCTGGAATTTTAAGGCAATTTCTCTGATAGAAGTTTCCGTAGGGTTCGTAATTTTGAATTGCAGGACCACGAATGAAGCAGATTGATTGGTCAATTTTGTTGTTAACTCGCTTATGAATTAAGCTCCAAAATTTTAGTCTGGTTCAAGGTCATGACCTTTGAACTTCGTTGTGCCCATTCTGCAAGCGATGAGAGCCAAATATTTTCCCGTACGATCCGACCTGAGTAACTCAATTAGCATTTATCATTTGACCGTTGCTGTTCCTCTGTTTCATTTCCTATTTATATTTTCATAGGATCTTACGGCTTTTTCCAGCCCTAATCGTGCCATCACGCACGGCCCTTTTTCGGCAATTTCTTAAAATAATGTTTCTCAATAAAACCGCCAGAGCGTTACCATACGGGTATGACTGTGTTCAGTTTCCTTCATCTCCTTTTGCCTACACAGTTATAATGAGGGGCAAACCGGGAATATATTCATTACAGCTCGTTTTATTTCCTTTGTGCTAGTTTTGCTAACTTCTGACCACCAGTTACTGAGGAAGAAGCAGTTAATGCTAGGCTTGCGGGAGGCTCTTACGCTTGAAATCCAAGGTTACAACAAAGTTGACTCAGAACGTGATCCTTAGAGTTTGTGGTTGGCGGGGGAGGGGGGGAGGTTTCCTTTAATATACACATGTTTTATGTAGTCGGTCCTTCGAAGTACGACTGGAACAAAAAGCTTGGCTCTTTACTGGGTACAAGACAGCTTGAACTGATGAGTGAATGATTGACATAGTTGTATGTTCTCGACATAACAGCTTAAGCTAAACTTCTTTTCACGTGCACTCCTACACTAGACAAAGCTTATCGTAGCGCTGGTCTCGATATATTTTTTTAAGGAAGATCTTGTCTCAAAATCCCAATTACCTTTGGTGCTATTTTTAATGAGTGCCCCGGCCTGCATCGAACTATTAGCAAGCACGTGCACGGTCAACTTAAATCCGAAGTATAACCAAACAAAATAACAAACAAAAGATTAGGGTTAGAATCAGTAAAATCACAAGAATTTCACATCACAACACAGCAGCAGTCTAGGAACGTGCACGTAAGGTAGTAAAGTTAACTCCAAGAACCCATCAATAGGAACAAAGTAAATACTAAATCTTGTTCCACGGGGTCCTTTTGTCCCAGTAGTAATCGTATGTCCTCATTCTTCATTTTCTATTCATGTCTCGCATGGCTAAGTTTTCTTTTAAATAAACTCCATTTCAAACGCTAGAAATATTTCGCGTTAACCCACGAAAAAGTCGGTAATCCTAGCGTGCATACACATACCTGTCTGGAAAAGTTTCCATAATAAGATGATAGGGCAAGGTCATAAACACATTCTATTTAAGAAAAATTTGGCATGAACCACAAGAAGATTTTCATGTTTTCACGTACTGTCCTCGGTTCCTGCACATCAAAAGAGCTGCATAAACATAATAATAAATCAGTTGAAAATTTGTTGAAACAGTTCATCATTACCGATCTGTTTCAATCTTCTCCATCCTTAATCATTCCTGTTCATGTTTGTTTCATTCTGAACTCTTTTGTGTTTTCTATCTTAGCCAGCTCATACTTTTTTGTCCTCTTCAAGTTGGAGGTGAATTTGCTTGCCGCAACCGAGAGAAGCCTCAGCTGGAATAAATGATGACGTGACATCCCAGCTTAATCCCATTTTCCTCCAAGCTCCTATTTTCCCCTTTTTCCGGTGAACATATCATTTTAAAAACTGTAACATAGCTACAGCTTTGTTGACGGGAAACGAAAAATTGTTGCATGAAGAGAGTTGGCCTTTGTGCATTCCTTCTACGTAAACGGAAGAGCAATTGTAGATACACCGCTACCTGTAGTCACAATTCCACTCTTGACGTAGAGAGATCCAATTTATGTTTAGAAAAGTGACTCTTTGGATAAGCCGTTGATAGAGGGTCACGCAGTGCCACTTCCGCGACAACAAGTAACTAACGTATCCAATGACACGGATTACAATCTCCTGATCGTTGCTGACCCTACGAGGTATGTTTGCTTAGATTAAGAATTTGAGAGAAGATCCTAATCGCGGTTAGCTCGATAGCAAGGCTGCCAGAAATGTTACATAGTATTAGAGTCAGCACAAAATATCCAGATTTGTTAACTGGATTATTTTTTCTTTAAGCAAAAGCCGGCTAACTTATTGGATAATAACATCATCGAGTCGCAGCCAACTAGACTCCGCTCTGACGTACATGACATGGTCTTTAATAACTTAAAAATGCTTTCTAGGTGATAGTGATCAACAATCCGGTAGACGGACCGCTGTCTTGGTTTTAAAAGAAAACAGATCTTTTAGAACAAATTAAATTCTGGAAGACAGCATCATGGAAAGTGAAGTTCCAGAAGAAGAAACTCCAAGAGCGACAATTTCAAAGAAGAAAACAAAAAGACGAGGGCGGCGCCTTACTGGTTTAAGCAAACAGAGGAGAATCGCCAATACGCGCGAAAGAAACCGAGTCCATGTCATAAACGAAGGGATAGATCGCTTGCGAGATCTCATTCCTCTCTTTCCGAACGAAAAAAAGCCTTCAAAAACCGATACTATTCGTTTAGCAGCATTGTACATATCGCATTTGACAGAGCTTCTGGAAATGGCGAATACAGAACACGAAGAGATGATTGGTAGAGAGAGTTTGGACGAAGATTTGTCAGTGACTTCACTTGAGTTTGACCCGTTCGGTGTAGAATCTGAAGGTAAGATAACAGTTTTGTAATTCATTTGTGGTAAACTTATGTACGCCTGCATTTTGATGAAACTATAAAAGTCTATTATCCAAGGGCGTAGTAAAACAAAAATCACAAACAACTTTTTAGAGCATTTCAAAATGTTGGTAGCGAGGAATGGTAGGAAGGAATTTGTTTAATTATGAGGGAAATACTACACCGCTGAACTATTTAAATATATCGTAACAGTTCGTGAACTTTTAACGGCAACTTTACCTGTGTGAGATAAGCTTTTTTGATATGTAAGATAATTAGAAACTGAAGTTCATTTCTCTTTTTGTTTTGTGTCAGAATTGACAGTTTTCTTTTGGAAAGATGATGAATTAAGTGGCAGCGATGGTGGCGGTCTCTCGTCCGTATTTTAACATCAAAAGTCCAAAATCAGGCCAGAACAGCAACTGAAGAGCAATAAAATATTTCTTGGGAGTAAATGTACCTCAAGTGCATGGAATGCAACTTTCATTTATCCGTGAGAAGTATTGTTGTTGTTGTCATGAAAACCACGTCACACTGCAGCCTTTTTTTGTCACCAAGATTGTTGACTTACTCTTCAGTGGGTGGCATCAAGAAATCTTTACCTCACGAGAATAGCCACCGTTCATCATAGCCATAAAATTTTGGTTTTCCAAGTTAGCCTACAATGCGATTAACTTATCGGATCTGAGTAGTTTGAGCTTTTTTTATATCAAACTATTGAGTGTTTTAAGACACGATAACCATCTTACTTAAACAAGAGGCGCCCTCTTGCGTCGGAATAAGCAAGCTAAGTAAACAGTGTAAAGTAAACTCACCTTTCCTAATTTAGCAAATATTACCTGTTTCACGATAAACCCGAGTCAAAAACGCCGAACTGTGCTCGCCACTGATCGGGCGCATAGTGGAAATAAAGCAGTCACGTGTTGTTTTAAGGTTTGCATCACTTCCGTGCTGGTGAAGAATGGACGGGTATCGTGCGCGGAGCAAGTAATAAAATCAGACTTGTGCAGACTTGTAAGCGTCTCGGTTTTTCGGTCAATTGCTGTATTTGAGGTAATTTCGGTAGGTATGTTGTCCAGGCTTTAGTTTATTTAATAAAGTCGGAATGCTTAGCGCATACAAGACAGCTGTTGCTTGCAACAGTTGACTATTACTTTATAGAAGGTTATAAGCCTATTTCGTTCAGACTGTTTGTAAAGGTTTGAGTAATAACTAACAATTATGCATGAAAATAGATTACGAAGCTCTTAATCTAATTTTGAAACATCACCTGACGTAGAAGCTTAGGGGAACCTTTCTCACTCTTTTTTTTTTTTTTACCAGCTGGGATCAGCTTACAAACAAATAAATTCAGCAGAATTTTAAGTCTGCCTGTCAAATTGTACCTCTTATAATTGATATCATCCTGCTCGATAGGATTTAAAGTCGTTGCTAAGAAATGTCGTTCAAGGGGCTAAAAAAATATTAAGGTTATTTTGCATAATCAACTTACTCTTGTTATTGATACGGGATAAGAAAGCTCAAAGGCTTAAACTGACGCCTCATGTCTCTATATTGGTTTTGTCTTACGCAAAACAAAAAGACACGCTTATTTTCACATTTTTCTCTTCCATGATATCTTCACTATTGCTTTTAAATTAAATCTCTGTAGTTAAGATCTTGATTCATACAGGCTGGATTTAGCATCATTGAGTGCTGTTCACTCGGATAGTACGTGTGCTTGAAATGCAAGCGTACTTCCGAAGATACTTTACAAAGATTAGGTAAAAAAAAAAAAGGAATCATTTGGTTATCAATAAATAGTTCCTAATCGAAACTGTGGTTCTAAAATACCATTGTGTCCTAAATCGTACTTGACATGAAATGCTTATGTTGTTGCACCATCGCCAACATCTTTTCCTGAATGTTACGAATTAGGTTTTGAGCGGCTGCTATCCTCCATGTTATCAGGAATTCGTTTATTACTTCGTTTCCTCCATTTGTCTTAGTTACCTCGGATACTTCACGCATTAAAGCATCAAACTAAAAATTAAGCGACACTTCATTCATTGCAGCATTTTTGTCAATTATCGCCGGTTTTTGTGTGGTTTTTTTTTTAGTCAGGACTGTCCTATCTCGTCACGTCACGTTGAAAGATGACTTAGAGTGACCCAGTTTTCCAGGTCATTTCTGTTTGGCTAAATCCCGTGTTTAACCTATGAGGACATCTGTTCTCCTGGATCTTTTCAATCATCGTTTGTAAGTGCTCATTTAGCAGCAGTGTTGGGTACTTTTACACTGATAAGCTACATACAGACAGAGCTGTACTCAGGATTGCATGACAGTACGTTGGAAAATGTGCTAATGAGACTCATTTGTTCACACGTCTGTGATGTTTTGTTTAATTGAAAATAAGGTGGCACTTCACTTTACAGCACGTTGCACGATGATCCCGAAAGAGAGTCATAGAACGAACCGCCAATTACAACATTTCAGAAATTGAATGAGAAGGCAAATGAGAATGTAAACTTGCACGTTTTGGGTGCTATGAAGACAAATGTCCAAGTATTTTTTGCTTGCTTTATCTTTCATGTAATATCCACTGGGTTAAATAACATCATTTACGACCTTCGTAGAAGTTTTAAAATTGAACTCGGAGTCCTCAACTTTGGGCCTGTTTTAATTAAACGTCAACTGAAATATCTTCCCTTCCGTTACGTTATACTAATCATCAACAAACATGTGACCAAAATAAGTCGGACGCACGACAAAGAATAATGGCTCGTAAACAAAACTTTAATGAAATTGATCTTGAAACCAATAGAGGCTGATGGCGGTCTTGTTAGTTTTACATATTGTACGACTATCGGAAGCTCACTTATTGATTCAAAATTACTGAAATTATTCATGACCTTTTCTATAGACTGAACTGACTGAAAATAGGTCCTAAAATAACAAAATTAGTGGGGGGGGGGGGGGGGTTGCTCTCATTTATACACCGTCTGTCAATTGCGGTTTTTCCTGTATGGGCACAAAAGCATCTCATAATTATAAAGATTGTCCTCTTTTAGCTGCTGATCCAAACTGATCCAAAGCAAGCAGCAGCTTTGCTCAGCTCACGCTTTTAAAACTTCTTCAACCACATGTATAGTTTCCGTCCTTTTTAAACATGACCACTGTTTTAGGTGACTCGTCAGGATCAAAAAAATTTAAATCAGACAGAAATCTAAATTTGATCAGGAGAAATCGATATAAATTCTTGATTATGCAGTCACACATCAGCGTTTCCTCCAAAAAGGATCGATTGAACTTAAAACTTAAAACCACATTTATTTGAGTGAGGTTACAATCATGCCCGGAAGGATGAAGGTCCAAATTAAATGTATCATGAAACTGAAAGAGAAACACATGACTTAAAAGGAAAACCGTGAGACAAGTTATTTCTTTTCGAATGTTGAAGGTTTCTCGAGTTCATGCCGTATTGGACCACACCTAATGACCTGAACTTATTCAAACCCCTTTTGCCCAGCCGCCGTTGGACTTGCTTACCCAACAATTGTTATCTTCAGGCTTAAAATCAAATGCGGAGAAGCTTATCGACACATCAGAGCGTACGAAATAAACTGTTATGATAAGAGCTGAGGCAGCCTCTAGATGGTCCTATTTCGTTGAGAGAAAGCCAAAGAGGAAAAAAAATTGGCGTAGATAATGTACCGCAAAGTATGTTTGATCAACTTAACTTAAGAAGCAGAAAGGAAGAAGGGAGTAAAGAAAACTTAGTGAAAATGGGTAAATACGACACTGGACTTGCAAACTTACAATGTAGGTTGCTACTCCTTAGCAAAAAAATCCAGCCGAGGTAAGAAGGTAAAGTTTAAAAACCAAAATTGCCCAATTTGAACATCAAAAGTTACATGTCTAAGCTCTCGCTTTGCTAAGTAATAATGTGCAAAATAGATCTTTCAATAATGCCTCAATGTTATCAGTGTTTTTGTAGGCGTACACAAGGTAACCTTTAAGCGAAATCAAGCTATCTGGGAATCTGTTTTACGTAGTATTGGCTCCTCTTGTCTGAGTTCCCAGGTTACCTGTAATATCACAAACTCACCGATCTTAATTAAACACATCTCCCATAAAGGATCATTCAGATTAATGATGCAGGATATTGTTCATTTCCGAAAGATAAACTGAGATAAATCAAAACGTTGTGGCGAAAGCTGTTAGGTTCAAATTTAAAGCGTGTTACACGGAAAGATCAAACAAATGTTTTCATCGCACAAATGCTCACAAAATGTTCTACAGCTTGTTCGTGGCTGCAGAGCTTTTTTCCAAAACATGCAATGACTTTACTTTTATTGACTGAGTGCCAAAATGGCAACCTATGGAAACGATTTGAGTGCTCGTTTCAGTAAAGCCTACAAGCAAACCACCAACGGACTGTCTCCAAACTAGAACTGATCTTTCGGTATCAGCATAGTTTGATATGAAAATAATTTCCAAACGTATGCATGAATGAGAATTTACTAGGCCCTAGTATCATCAAGGCGGATGGGGATAAGTTTCCTTCGGCTGAAGTAGACTAAAACCAACCCGAAAAATTTCAAGAGTGGAAATTTACGTGACGCATACAAATCCCTTTCATTTGTGTGATGTTTTTAAAGCAAATAAGTACGAAAAGAGAGCAAAAACAATAAACTTTGAAAGGTCAAAGAGTCATTTGCACGATGAGAGCGTTTGTTGTGAGCGGCTGTCGTGACGTCATGTCATATCAACCCACAAGTTTTTGAGGCTGGAGCTCATAGCAGCGATGACACACAGGTACGGTGAGCATGTAAATGATTCCAAACCTTAATACACTAAGCTAGAAATATTGACCTAACTAAAATCCACATTTGAAGTAAATAATAACCACAAACTTTAAGTGTTTTTCAATTATAGCATGAGGGAGTTCGGTCTTCTTTCGACGCAATGCACGAGTCACACATCATCAGTACATTATCATAATGGGACATATTCACGATTTACTTTAATCGAGAAAAAGGGCGTTATTTAATGTGAGAGTAGCTAAAGAAAATAAACAGTTAAAGGAAGTTTACGATGCTGTTGTGCGTGGGATGGACCAAAATGCGGTCGAAAGAATGTGCATTGAGCACGAAATACCCACACGTTATTCAGAAGTGCGATAGTAAGCCTTATCTTGTATAATATCATGTGTTTATGTTTCTGGACTTTATATAATCGTGTCAGATGAGTTCCGTTCTGTTGTCTCCTTAAAATGGAAACCCAGCTGACAAGCCAAGCCCTGGAATGCTGCGATAAGTAACTCGTTCAACGATCTCCACGCCTTAGTTTAAACTCACGTCAGTTACAAGCAGTTCAACCAAGCACAGCAGTCAGCCATGGACACTACTATAGCGGCTAAACCTGACAATACTCAAGGAAAAAAGAAAACAAGGAGGCGAGGACCTCGTTTGACCGGAGTCAGTCGACAAAGACGAATGGCTAACGCACGTGAGAGGAGCCGCGTGCAAACCCTTAATGCACACATTGAGAGGTTGAGGGATCTAATTCCACTTTTTCCTGGGGAGAAGAAACCCTCCAAAACGGAGACCATCAGACTGGCAGCAGTATACATTTCCTGTCTGACTGAGATTCTCGAGAACACACCTGAAGGTTTGGAAAGAATTAACCCAGACGAGCTACTTCCAAGCCTTCCAGGATTTGAAGATGGTTGGAGTCTCTCTGCAAATCTTCCACGATTCTGCTTTGACTCGTTCTCTGATAATGAAGGTACATATGCACCTTGAAGTTTTCACTCAATTATTTGTGACGGGGGCCGGGGATAAGTGTCATCAGCTCGAAAATCTGGGAGGTCTGATAGTTTTACAGTTCTCGTCCGTCATTTTCAAATATCGTGACGGAGTGTAAATTGTTGTTGAACTTTTTTTCCAAATTTTCAATGCAAATATTTATGAATCCGTGAGTTCGGGAATTGAATGATGTGTACAAAGATAACAGTAGTCCGTTTTGAAACATGTTTACTAACAATAATTCGGTTTTCATTGTTAATGTAAACAATATGTATTATCATTTTTAACACTTCCTCTCTTAGTTGTCGCGGATTGGATCCGCTCTTGTTGACTTCCAATCAAACCTTAAACGGTCCCTCAAGCAAAAATCGAAAAAAAAATTGAACTTTCATTGAAATGTTGCTTGAAAGTGATCGCACATTAATTTGTTGATCTCTTATCACGAAAGGCTTATGGTGAAATCCTAAAAGCTGTATTTGTTTTGTTTTGTTTTTAGTTTATATGAATGCATCTTTTATTCTAATTTTTTTCAGACAACTTACTGGACCTCGACCTTGGTGAATACCTTTGGGAGGAATACGAGTAGCACTCCCTTGTGTGGGAGAGCACATAGGTTTCACAGCCATTCAACATGATCCACAGGACACTTTTATTTCAAATCTTTCATCCTTGTACGACAAACCACTTATCGGTAAAATTATCACCTATTTTATCAAGTATCTGGGACAATCTTTGGAATGTGTGAATAAGGCACACAATGACTCCAAGTGGTGATTCCTTATGTGGCCAGTTGGTGAAAAGAAGTTATGTCACGGTAGTTGAGCAATTTCCTACCACGCGTAACATCACGCGGATACCTCAACCCCAACTATGAGAAAAAAAATTGATTGACACTTAAATGAGATAGTAAAGCACCAATTAGATTACTATAAGCTAAAATGAAAAAAGGAATTTTAAGGATGGAGAAGATTAACTCGGATTGCATGCAATGAGTTCGTAAAATTGCTAGATCCTTTTTCCACAAACCGTGACTTAGCTTGTTTTCGTCTTACATTCGTTGAGCTTGGAGATGAAAAATTTAGGGTATCTTGTAATCCGAGCGACAAAAGAGTTACTGACTAAGTGTGCTCTTGATTCAGTTCAAACTTCCACTTGTTAAATTCGTTTCCAATCGCACAAAATAAATTATGAAGAATATATTGTTAAGTTGATGAGAGTCCAGGAATATATTTATCGCGGGACTTCCAAGGAACATTCGTAAGAACGATTTCTCAATCAACACTTGTGCAATTATGGGTATTGATAAGCTAATATCATTATATTTCAATAAGATATTCTATTAAAATCGTGTGGCTTTACGTTTGAAGCATGGTACTGCATCTATTTTGTGAAGTTTATGATTTATAATGTTTTAAAAAAATTACCCATTTACAGTTGGATCTAGGTTCGATTTCTTGATGTAAGCGGTAGGCATCGTAATGAACTTGAACTTTTTATCTTAGTAGTACTAACTGACCTCATCACGTTCCTGGCCGAGAGCCCAGTGGCGGCGAGGAGAACATTTCAATCCAGTATAGAATTTTGAGGTCGAGGATTACCTTACAAAGATTTGATGGAGATGCTTGCGTTCTATCCGTGACCAAAACCATCAACTGGCAACTCGTCAGGCCTTATCGGTACCCTCCACCTGCACCTGGAATAAAAAAGACTACTTTCGTTTCCTTGATGTAGGAAGAGATAAAACAAGAGATTTCATTTGTACCCGAACGAGTTTCCCCTTGAATAGTCGCTAAAGATATTACATGGGATCAATCTTTGAAACCCCTCGCACTTCTATAGTTAAACTCCTGCTATTTCTTCCTTTCTAAAAGCCCCCAGTTCTTGCTCCTGGACGGAGTCTCATGATCAGTAATTTGTTTGGTCCTCGCTGACATGATGAGTTTGTATTGCGTTCGATCTTTGTTTGAAACGGCACTAACGACGGTTTGTGATGACAAAGATAACGGAGAAATGACTGCGAAAGCTGAACAAGAAATTCCTCTCACGATGGAATCTGTGACGAGCCTAGTATAACTAATCTAGGGGAAAATTTTCCTCCTTTTTTTTCGATCCAAGTGAGGTGGGAGGTGGATGGGAAGAAGGAAATAGATTATTCCCGAGTTTTCCCGAATAATGATTAATGATGTTCTTCCGTGACTTCCTTACAGTACATAAGCTGGACAAGGTTTCGTTTGGTCCAAGACATCAGTCTGAATTGTGACCGGCCACAATTTCCGATAACACTCTTAAAGACAACGTCCGGAATTCCAGTCAGAAGATAAAGTCTGGAACATCAGAAAGCATCTTTTAACGGAGTTATGCGTTGATGTAAAATTTTCAGAGATATAACGACAGTCAAAGGCATACAAGAGCATGAAATCTTAAGTATGGCCTGGAATAGTGTTTGGTTTGGAATAGGAATAACGCCACTGCACTTTGCTATTAAAAGGATTTCGTCACGCCAGAATCGAAATAATAAATTGTTTTGTTGATCCAGTCATCCATTGTTAGTTTTCATACGAAATTGCAAGCCTATCTGATTTTAACTTTAGAATTTAAGGTTGTACGTACTTCAAGGTTAGAAAGCTTTCTTAAGCCGACCACTTTCACAGCACTTTACCAATATTGAAACTCTGGGTTCAGGAATCAGTCGACATGGAAAGGCTAGGGGAAAAAATAGGGGAGGGAGAGATTTTAATTAGCTTGCCGTGTAAGGGTTCAATTGATAAGCCCCTTAAGCAGAGTGACTCTTAATAGAGACTGTGGGAAGACATACCATCTTCGTCCTTTTTCTGAGTGCGTGAGATTCAAAGCTGGAAAGAGGGTCTGCTTTCACCGGTTATCGTTTGCTACCTTGAAACAGTTTAGTGTTCGTAGTGTGTTAGTTGCAGATCGCATTGCACTAAAATGCTGACAAAACAGTTTTGAGAAGAATCCATTTTCCTTTGGGAACATTCAGTGACAAATTCAGGACATTTTAGAACAAAATTTTCTAGATGTTTAATCCAAGATATCTTTTTTAATTGGCTCAGCGTAATTGATTTCGGAAATTCTAACGCAAACATGAAACAAGATATGGACTTTTGGGTCAGATTTGAAAAAAGTGTATCTGAACATCGAATATTTTGGTGTAGCCACTGGGTATTAAAAAGCACACCGTTATAACAGAAGACAAAGTCTGCTGGACAGAGATATGAAGCCGAAAAGTAAGGTCACCCGAACTGGGTCGATTCAAGTATTCTGTGAGAACCCAAAACCACCCTGATAATAAAGAAATTACCTCCAAAGTCTGTAAGAAATTGAGAATCTTTTTAAATACTGTAAACAGATAACCAAGCGTGCCTTTGAGTTTGTCACTAGCCATAGAAAAGATGCTGTTCACATACGCTCGATGACCTCGCAGATAACCGCAATGGGTACAACTGATCAAATAACTTAAGCCATGGCAAGTGTTGAGGAGGAAAATGAAAGAATTTCATCCAGAGATAAGGTACTTTCTTTATCTCCAATAGAATAATATCAATCTTCCAAGCTATCTTGAGTTCCCATTTGCACCCATTCTTCATAACAATGGAACCCTTCGAACAGGATATCACCCAAGGGTTATTAAGCGATTAAAAATTCCCAATTAAAACTTGTCATTCAGAGAGTAGAGTGTTTAGTATGTTAAGTATATATTTCTAAATGTAGCAAATTCGAGCTGAAGTCAACCACATTGACCTTTAAGTATAAAAGACTTCAGTGTAGCAAATTTTGATTCTACTGTGGATCTTGCTTTCCAAGCCTTTATCTCTTTTTCGTAATATTTGTAATAATCAAAGATAACTTGTTGTCTTCCGCACTGGTGATCATGGGTATCAGTTCAGGCACACAATCGATCGAAAAATTGTGATTGGCTGTTTTTTAAACACAGCATTTAATCACCGGAAGTATCAAAATATCTTTTGTGGTTTTCCTATCTTAGCGAGGACATAAACATGTTTTAAAATTGCTTGATTGATTAAAAGAAGATGGATACTTATGATCAGGGACCGCGATCTCTTTCAGAAGAAAGTTCGAGAACAAAATCTAAAGGAGGAGGATTTCAGCGGAAATATAACAATGCCATTTTTCCTTTTTTTTTTTTTTATTAATACCGACCAGAATTTAAGGGGCTCAATCCCCTTTGCGCAAATTAAAAAAAAAACAAATTGGCACTGGCTCTTAATAATTTAAAGTTCAGGACCATTGGGTTTTGGTTACTTCAGAACTCTAAGATTTGATAAAGTCACTGACATTTTATTTAGATATTTAGATTTTTCCATTTAACTTTGCACCGTAATTTACTGTAAACACATTCATCTGACGTGTAAAAATTGCATCTGATGTTTGGAAACTCCATATCAATTAGCCTCTCATAAATGTGGTTTAAATGGAAAAAAACTGAAAAGTGTTCGATGCGTAGGTTTGAGAGATAAGGAAGCCGCCTTGTTATAATCCACTCAGGAATTAGTACACATAGGATGGAATTACAATTTCGTTAAAATGTTATACTAGAGATATCCATCCTTATCCCGACTAATGCTTAATCACGTTAGTTTGTTGAGAAAAAGAATTCTGCGGTCTCATGCACGTATGATATGCCTGAATGTCAGAAATATTTCTTTGTCGTGACTGAAACTCTCCTAACACAGAATTCACTGATCAGTTTCCAAACAAACAATATCCTTGCGTTGGCGTGTAGGTAAAAAAAATACAAAATAGGTTAATCTGATCATGCCGAAGCGTTGTTGATAACAGCAAATTTACCACCGAAGTCGGAAAACCTGAAGTTTTCAGTGTCTTAGTCTCCAGAATCTGTTGCCTTCAGTTACGATCATGTTGAACTTGGTTTAAAAAATAATTACCCAGAACTACTTTTTATTCGAAATGATGCCTCTAAACTAAATGAACCTTTGCATGCCAAAGCGATGCAGAACGTAGTCTAAAATTAGATGCGACACGAACTGCATGCGATAGTTGCATTAATTTTCTTGCTTCTCGATCGATAGTTAACTTCAGAAAGACAATCTTGGTGTGACATATACAATCCTACGCGATAACTTAAGAGCAAATTTTTGGGTTCCCACCTTTCTTTCAATGAATACGATGCTGATAGGCTTGGTCGGGGAGAATGAGTTACCCCACAGCTTAGAAAAAACAGTGTCGCTCAAACAGCTTCCTTCGGACTCTCAAACTGAGTGGGAAGTAAGTCGACAGGATTTCAGCTGGGATCGCCGAAGCTGTATTATATATTCAACTAATCATGAACATTAAATTGTGCTATCTGGTGAGAGCAGTTTATTTTTTGATTCAGACAGTTGAGGTGATTGGATCTAGCCACATGGCAGACAAATTGATCTATTTCTTAGCCTTCTACAAAACATTGGTAATTGTCCTCGCTGAGGAAAAGAATTTATTTAGGCTTCAGTTATTAAAGCGGAGCTCAAGGAAAATTGGATAATTAAGATTTCCTAGCGAAATCAGTTTTCTGGTCTTTCTTCAATTAGTTTAAAAGGGAAGCGGCAATGTATACGTGGGAATCTTTTTTGGCAAAGCATCAAGTCTCCTATTTTTTTCCAACTCTAGACTCAAGCTTTCTAACACATAATCCATCATTACTTTGAAGATTACTTTCAACTAATGAAAAAAGTGCTCTATATAGGTCTATGCTACAACAATTATTTATTTCAAGTCACAAGTGACATTGGTGTTTGTAGGCAAAATGTTGGCAATGATGAAGCACCTATGTTACCTTCAAGTCACATATTGTGGGCGTGGAGAAACCTCGAAATATGAGCCAAGAGTTAATAACAAGAACAAAAATAAATTGGGTGGAATGTTCAAAAATTTACTTTCGATTGCACAAATAAACATGATAAAAGTAAGAACGTCAGGAAAGTTGAACCACGAGTGTATGAAGATATGGATCCAAGAACTCTTGCTTTCTCAGTCTCCTCCAATGTAGCTGTGAAGGGCGCTGGTGTGGTGGTTTTCGTCTGATTATTTTCTATTGTGAGCCTCAGACTTCTGACATTGGTGCTGCGTTTGGGTGCCTGGGTCGTGCTTGTATCTGCTGGGATTAAGGTGACTATTTTGAAGCCCTGCTTTTCGTGCTTTGTTTTATAAGGCGATGGATAATCCAGTGTGTGGTAAGCGTACACCAAAAGCATCGGTCCTGGCTGCAAAAATGAATTTGTCAAAAAATGGCGAGATTAAAGCTTAAAGTGAAAGGAGGAGAAAAAAATGAACTACTCAAGGACATCTGGGAGCAGCCGAGCAGGCGATAAATGGATCTAACAGTCAATTCGCAAAATGGTTTTAGCTGACGTTTGTATCCCAAGTGTCAAATTCATTCCTTTCGACGTTTTGTATGAGCAATTCAAAAGATCATTCGTGGAAATCACTCTCTATCTTTTCCTATTATTAAAATCATGATGTTGTCAGCTCTTAACATTAAGTTTGTGGTCCTTTGCAATGTTTGTTTTTTTAGCGGAGGTACACTTCTAAATCGAGTTATAAGTTCAAAGATCTTTGGACTGCGTTAACTAAAGTTGTTTTGCTCGACGTGGAAAGTACTTTTTCAACCTACCGTAGTTAGTGGGATGATATGCTCATGTTTATCTTAGAAATAAATTCTAATTATAATAATTTGTGATAAGTGTAAAACATATTCGGAGCGCGGAATCCAAAGGTCTGAGGTTCGATTCCTCATGAGGACTCAGAATTTGTCTTTGTCCCACAGTCGTGACAAGACGAAAAACTTCCTCTATTTCTTTACCGAGCTCAAAAGTTACCATCTCTCTAATTTTATTTACAAACATGGTGTTATCGACATTGTTGATCCCAGCAGTTTGAAGGACGCGTGTCATGTGAACTTCGCACCGAAGTGCGAAATCCGAAGGTCTGAGATTCGATTCCTCATATTATATATGAGGAATCTTGTCCCACGCTCGTCACAAGACGAAAAACATCTTACCCAATTTCTTTAACGAGCTCAAAAGTTACCATCTCTCTTACTCTATTTACGAAAGTGTAAAACATGTTTCACTGAGGACCGAACTCACGAACTACATGCCAAAGATATGTGGCGGCTGTCATAAAAGAATGAAGTGGTAATGTCGACTTAAAAAATATTCCTGCATTTCGATAGATATGCTCAGTTTATTGGCTCGTAAAAACTGTAATGCTGTAATGTAATGATGGTGTCGAGTAATTTATAATTGAAGTTATCAATACTGCTTAATCCTGACGTCAAGAGTCTCGAAAACACTCCTGATTACTCGGGTAACAGAGAGTGCTACATTATAAACCCAAGATTTGAAAGGGGAAGGATGTCGATATAAAAAATTAAGAAATTAATTATAAAGAGTATTGAAAAAAATTGATTTGCATAGAATTAATAAGTTCATTCTAACCTTGATTTCAATGTCTTTCTTGTCGCCAGTGTCTCTTTTTCTGTAGAATTCCAAGAATGTTTTGCCGTTGCTTTCATTGAAACCTGTAAGATTATAATCTTGGTATAGATCTGCTAAAGGTTCTGAATAACCGCCGGTAAAACGATCCTGGAGATGACAAAATGTTACAAATGAACTCTTAGAGAAATGAAAAGATGTTATTTTTCTTCTTCAAAAGCTTCATGATTTGCAAAATACTTCTTTCGTTGTATGGTGTTTGACCAAATTGAACGAACATAGAGAAAACTTCAAGCCAGACAGCAAATATAATAATCTTGCATTAACAACATTCTGTGCCTGTATTATGAATTTGTTCATTTTCAAATTTTTTTTAAAATAGATTGCTCTCACTAAGACTGAGAAAGCGAAAGCAAATCAGTGGAACCGGATAAGCTGGTGGTTCCTGCCGATTTACTATTTTAAATGCGTGACCAAGGACGGATTAAAAACCAAAATAATTATTTATTTACCTCGCTGATGCGTTGTTTCTCTCTCGACATGCATACTTAAGTAAAGTATAAAAATCGTGCTACTTTTCTAATTGAGATTCAAAACTTCCAAAGAAGAGAGAGATTTAAATACGCAGAGAGGAACTTACGGTGAGCCATCCCCTTCCATTTTCAATCTTTCCAACAATCACATCATAGTTTTTCATTCTGTTGATTTTGTTGGCAAATCCGAAACCGACCCATCCGAGCGTGCTAACCTCCAAAACAAAATTGACTGTATTGGTGCCATCATTGTACACCCAATACATTTTAAATGCTTTTTCTCCATCGAGGTAAACAGAATTTAAAGTTTCCTTGGGATGGACAATAGAAAACTCGAAAAGTAAAATCAGAGCAGAGAAGAACAACTGCGACATTGCGAGAAACGTATAGAAAACCAACGTGGAACATGTGATATTGTTATACGGATTAACTTTATTCGCCAATATTTTCGAGGAAGATATTGAGTCTTTGGGAGTAGAGCCCTCTTTTATACCTATATCGAGTTAATCCTTGAGTTAAAAGCATTTCAGTGTAACCAGAAACCCATTATCAACCATGGTTACCGCTACCACAAAAAAGACAAGTCGTTTACAATACGAAAACTGACTCAAATACGTGTATCGCTCGCAACTTGATCGAAAAATAACATTCAGTTACCTTTGTTGTAAAATATAGATTAAGACTAGGCATATTTTATTCAATTCTCGAAGATTTGTCAATAAATTCTCAATTCCGCATCATGTCAAAGCGTGTGACTTAATCGTGCCTCTAAGGATTTGGCAAACAGCACGAAAACGTGAAAATTCTCCTGCAGCGGTGTGGCTCCAGGATCGTCCAATACTACAATATTAAATCAATCCTTCTTGAAATAATGATATAGTAGTACCTTGTCCAACGGTAAACAATTGCTTACAATGAGAATTGTGCTGTACGATTAAAATTCGTGTGTCAGAGAGAGGAGAAATCAAGAAGAGGAGAAAAAGACATTTTAATTATCTTTAAATGATTTCAAATAGGTTTTCAGTTTTGATAGTATTAACAGCTTGTTTCAACCATGGATTAGATGGCTCTACCTTATCCTTTGACAATGGTAATTTTCATGTTTCTTGGAGGTACGAAAAAGACCACGATGAGTTGCATTTCGAACTCAACGTAAAGACAGAGGGATGGGTTGGATTTGGATTTACCTTCACACCAAAAAAAATGAACAACTATGATGTGATTATCGGTGGAAAGACCCGGGCAGGAACTCCCTATTTGAATGTAAGTTGTTTCTTGTGCACTCGCTATAATTAACGAATTAATAAGATATCTTGTCTGCTAGAGTAAGTTGCTTGAGGTTATCAAACAAGTGTTTTAATTAAAAACATGGTACAATGTCGCGTTGGAGCTATGAACTCATCAAAGGAAGAAATGTCATTCCCAATCTTCAGGATTTTTTCACTGTTGGGCTCACTACTCCAGTCTTGGACTTGAAGCAAAGTTACATGTTGGACATGGCCTCGAAGCAAGACGGGATCACAACACTCCATTTCCATCGTCCAAGGATCACGAGTGATTCAGAGGATATTCAGTTTAACGTAAGTTGACGTTTGTCAAAATTGACTCATGCAGGTTCTCGATTTTTAGCAACGGTCTCCTCTAGAGCGCTCAGAAATCATCTTCGTTTGTTTCCAAAAGCTATAGGAATTAGAAATTTTGTAGTCTGGGAAATACTCGGACAATTTGAATAATAATGTTCGTAAAAAACATTTCCTAAATCAGTTTTAACACGTTTTTTGTCATTTCTACTTACATGTATGTATAGATGACCACCAGTGTGTTCATACTGTGGGCGTATAATAAAATCGACGATGCACGCGACCCAAGCAGCTTCAGCAAACATTCTCGGAAGGGTTACAGTAGTGGACCTCATAGAATCGTAGTTGAAGCTATTCCAACGGTCGATGTTTCAAGTCAAGACAGTACGAAGCTCACAACATTTCACCTGAGCACACCGCCTCTCGCAACGCTAAAACCGGCAAAAGCCTTGGGATTTCAACTAAACCTAAGCACCATGACCATGGCAATAGCCTTTACTCTGAACCTCTTTGTTCAATTGGTACTCAAGTAACATAGGATTTATTGCAAGGAGCTGCCAAGAAGTTAAGGAATCTTTCCAGTGCTATTGTTGTATGCGCTTACAACTTATCATCGGTAACATTTTACGACACTCAAATCATGAAAAAGAACGATTTAAGCGTGTCGTAATTAGTAAGGATCATAACGAGGTCAAGCCCTGAAAGGTTTCCATCTGCTAACTGGCTTATATCTAATATACACAATTTGTTGCTTTGTTTTTATCACACGTAAAAGCTTACTCAAAACCTAAGTGTGTTTACATTGTCAATGGCAATTTGGCTTATTAACGAAGTTACGAGAGGCCATCGGTTGGTTTTTTCCGGCTCAATCCGACTTTTTTTCTACTATCGCAACCTTCAACTTGTTATTTTATAAACAAAGAAAAGTAGTTATATTTTGGTTTTCGCTTTATTCCTTACTGTAAGCTTCAAGGACAGACCACGATCTTGATGCCTAAGAATAGGATCTTTGAGAAAGAAATGAATACTCGAAAAATCACGACGTCCATTACTAATCAGCACTGATTCCTAATTGGCAGTATCCCCACCATTGTCTCCTTCTTACCAACCAGAGGCACTATGAAGTGATGAATCACGTATTCAGCCGTTATTGAAAAATCAAATTTTAATAAGGAACATTTCTCTAATCGGGTTGCAACCAAACAGAAATTACTTTTCAAATCTTGAGATGGTTCGCTATTTGGATTTCCTTTGATCACAGGGAATCAGTATGGAATCTTTCTATTGATACTACTTACACTCCTGATATAATTTCAACAATTCCGAGTTTCCTGAATGTCTTCTGTTGTTATATGTAGATAATTGCGAAAACATTCATTTTCTGCGAATGTTGAAATGCTGAGTTCCATGTCATTTTTTCTCCATTAGATCTAGAAATTGTACATCTCTAAAGTTACTTAAAGAGTTAAAAAGAGGTCTATTAGACATTATATGTGTCGATCATCTTTAAGAAATTAATTCAAAAGTATATAAAAATGAACTAAAAAAAATTTTCTTAGGTAATCAAAGTCAAATGAGCATAGTGTAATGAATTGGTAAATACCGAGCTAAGTTGTGGAGGACTCTCCAAAGGCTTCATTCCTGCTCTTGGCGCTGGACAGCAATCATTTCTCTCCAAGTGGCGAAAAAGGGAGGTCCAAAGTCTGTTCCTGGTGTACAGTGTAAAAGTATAGCGAAAAATGGGGATTTTTGGGTCAGGTCGCGTGAAGCAACCCAACTCTATACCCCTTTTTCTCTCCGCGCCTTCACAGAGCCCCACCTACTTTTTTAATAAGTGTGTGTAAAAGGATAGGAACCATAAAATTTTGAACTCTTTAGAATATAGATATGCTGAGCCAGTGAGACTCGACTCTTGCATAGCTCTTGAATGTTTTTAAAGCTTTCTTAACTCAAAATTACAGTTGTTAGATTCCCCTGACTAGTTACACATAACCAAAGGCCGGATGCGACATTTCGACGAAATGAAGATTTGTTGTTGATGTTTTTTTTTTTGCAACATAAAGTTCTTATTTGGTTCTGCAAGACATGTTGTAGAGTTGCACTGTCTCAAAAGATTATGCACTGGAGTTTCTAATCTCTTGACTGTACTGATTCCTCGAACAAGCGATGATTATCTATATCACTTAAAGCTATAGGGCTTGCGGAAAACAAGGAAGTCCGCGGTTGTGCAAGGTAATTGCTTGAGGTCCTACGCTTTGATCAAGGAGGTACTGAATCAGTTTAAACTGAACCTTTGGTCTTATGCTGACTATAGTCGAAAGTAAAATTTTTAGCATAAGACAACAGTATTCAGTGCTTTAGGTTCACGAAGAACACAAGGCATATGGAATGAAGGATGAAAAAATGTAAGTCTACCTTAAAGTTCGGCATAATCGCACGAACGTTAAAAACGCCATCTTTAACGTCAGGACAAAAAAAAAAAACTCACCCTTTATCCTTGAACATATGGTCACTGGACGGATATAGCAATGTTGATAATCTCTGCACACATTATCTGCAACTGATAAACCATGACTTCAACGGCAGGCCGGGTGTTTAAGATATTGGAATTGTCATCAATTGAATGAAAATATAAATTAAATAATTTTAGGGACTTTTCCTTTTTGTACTCCTATGACAAATTACTTCCTGAGACTTTCAAAGAACGCAGAAAAGCTCAGTTTTAGATATGCTTATTTACGAAAAATCTACCCCACATAAAGTTGGCATTTTGCTTTTTTATTTTAACGAATAAGTACTCTTTTGCCCATTTCAGTCAGGGATGATTTTACATCTTTTTTTGTTACCGATTCATTACTCTCTCGTCAGCATAAAAAAGATATTTTATGTATTGGTCAAATAATTTCATTTCGGTATAATCATTTTCTCTAGTTGAGAACGGAACTGGTCTTCATTTGAAAAATGCAAGAGATGCACGATTTGTATTGCCAACTGTATGGGTTTTTTTCAAGAGCCATTCAAAAAAAAAATTTAAGTTAAAGGGGGCAACCGGGATTGAACCGGTGACCTCTCGATCTGCAGTCGAATGCTCTACCACTGAGCTATGCCCCCGCAATGAATGAATGGCAAATTTTTGCAGTTAATAGGCCACATGACGCATCATTCAAATTTAATGAGTCCTCGCTTTGTTACATGTGGGGGACTTTGTAGAGAGCCCAGAGATTGTCGTTTCTTTAATCTACGAATAAATTCTAGATTGAAGCAAAGTCGTTTTGTTGTTTTTTTTGCAGTATGTATGCTCGTATGCTTGTTAGGCAGAGGAATTAAAGGCGCAGTAGTACATGAGATTTGCTGACAACACAGAAGAAGCCGGCTTGTCGCGCATGGATTCTAACGGGTCCTCGCTGATCCGCGAGTGTGTTCGGCGGCTTTGTATGACCCGTGATCTTCTCCATGTCTATTAACCTGATTTTATATTCATTATTTCCATAATTTGTTGAAATATTACCGAAATTGCTTTGATTTTGGTGTAGTACGCTGTAATTGGTCAGAAACTCGCGTCAAACTATCAACCAATGAAATGCAGTTTTTAATTTGGCTCCACTCGGCCACTCGGCCACTCGGTTTTTTCCGCGCTTGATCGGCTGATACATGTATTCACTATTTTAAATGTTTTCCTAGTAAGCCGCAGCAATCGACTTTTTTGTGACACAGACAAAAACAGCTCAACGTAACTTGACTGTTTAACCCTAAAACTGCCAAAAGTAACCAGCATTTAATTCAGTTTTGCCCACATTATAACCACTGATCAAACATTAACGTCATGAGAATAGTGAAAATGATCAGTGACTTAAGAAGCTGCTGATTGTTAAACAAACTCTCCTTGAATCTATCATAAGAAGTGTGTAGAGAACATCGTTAGGAATATGCATACTGATGTTGTCAAACCTTTTATCTTAAGCAGGAAATTAAACCTTAAAGCTTCGAGTTTCTTGGGATTTTAACTCCATAACAATAACCCAACTTAGGATAAGGAGCTTGGTCGCGATCATTTTAAGTTCTTCTTAGCGACACAAAAGTAATAATCTTCGCCAAGTTATTTCAGCTTAAGCTTCCTACAGGTCACTTCCCTCGCTGAAAGAAATTTTTGTCGATCCTCTCCAGCTGTTTCAGCAGCAATTATTTTTACTTGTCAAAAAAAAAACTTATTCGACGAAATATCCAAGACTAAAATACTAACGAGATATAGTGAGTGAAAAGGAAAACACTTGATTCTAGTCTCCCTGCAGATAGGTATCTTAACTAAGCTTACTTAGTGATAGGTCTACAGAGCAGTCGGTATAAAATGTTCAGAAATTGAAATCGCCTGGAACAGGGAAAAGTATTGTATCCAGAGCGGTGTCACAATGTAGGCAAGGAACATAGGAAGTGTTTTTGTACTAATTGACAGAAAGAATCGTTTGATACGAGACTTGAGGAAATTAAGAGTTATCCTGCGTCGCAGAGATTACTTAAAGTTACATTATATTTTGATTCATGCGGAAAAAATATATTAACAGATGGCCTTTGGTTTCCGTGGGATTCAGCTAATTGCGAATAAAAAAAACAAAATCTGAGAAAGACCTTTAAATCTTAGGCCTTTAGAGGAACATGTTATTAAATCTATGTAGAACAAAACATTTTCAATCCAAGGAAACTTGTCTTCTACCGCTGAGCAGTGAATTGGACATAATTTTGAATTACTTTAAGCTTTCAACAACGCATCATTTTCCAATTTGTAGCAAAATTACTTTAACAGAACTTCACGGAACAATCAATAATCTCTACGCTGAAATCCGGTACAGGAAACATATATGGCTACCATGCTAGGAAATTGAACGATCTTTCGACCTGGGGTAAATCAATACTACTCTCGATCTTTGAACGCAACCCTTGATAATCAGAAAAAAAATACATGGGGAAAAACTGAAATACTTTGTAGAAAATATGTAGTGAAGATCAAAACACCCAAGTTACTTGGCTCCACTAATGTCGCATTGTTTTCAGTAGAAAGAAAAGAATCCTTAATTTTTTCCCGGGCTCCACAGAATAAAACTTTTCCATTACTTATGGTGACATTTTTCGTTTGTCAAGGCTCAGAGAAAGGCTGCAGCTCAATTGGAAGAGTAAGGAGTTTGCCGATAACCGAACAAATGGAGTTAATAAATCACGCGTGATTTTTGAAGTCTGTTTTCTATTTCCCGAACTTGTTGTGAAAGGATTGCTGAGCAAAGATATTCAGACATGCTCGATCAGAGCCGGAAAATACGATTCAGGCGAAATTTCAATGTTTTCATATTTCTGTTTTGTGGGCTAAATTGTTGTTTTTCACTTCGTGATTACGTGAGAATTTAATGTGCGAAGTCATGCTGTGAGAGATGTTACCCAAAACGGAACATGAAAATAACAATAACTGCAAAGATTAAAAAGAAAAATAAAAAAAAACTTTTACAGTTTTCTTTTGAAACCGAGGATTTTTATTTCAAAATGTTGGTCAAACGAGGAAGCGCACTTGAATTTTTAGTTTCTAGTCTCGTTCCAAGATTTTCGAGATATTTCTTTATCACGAGATACGTTAATTGGATAACAGTAACATAAAATTATTAATTCTCAGAGGGGGGTTCAAGCAACACTTTTTGATATCTACAGAATTTTCTTATCAACTTTTACTGAGTAGTTTTCACAGTTTTCAATCCTGATGTGGAACCCACCAGTGCGATGTCAATGAACACAGAGTTCCACAATTACCATGTCATTAAAAACAGTACATGCCGTGAGGTATTGCCGTTTCACACGCGCAATAACAACTGTATTACTTTTACAGATGTGTCGTCCATTCAGCCGCAAAATCAAATTTTTTTTGGTTAAAACGCA